ACTCGACACGACGGACTCGGACTGAGGGTCGGACGCAGACACAGTGGCAAGGCACAAAGTCGAAGTCTTGGATTCCGAATGCCGAAACAGCAAGTTACACTGAGTACGAGTACAGCAGCAGAAAACTAGTACGAGACTGGTCCCCGTACCGTACGGGGAGCCGGTATAAGTACCGGTGACAAGTGCGGTACCGGGGGCATTTCTGCAAAGGCCCCGAGGGCAGAACTGAAAAATGCAGTGTTTGAAAGTGGCGCCCGAATTGCAGCATGGTGCCAGTTGTCCAAAATCCTACGGTACCAAAGGAGGGGTTTGGAAAAAGGGTGCCAGGCCGAAAACAGGATGCAGCCGAAACAGCAAAAAGATAGAACAGGGATTGAGCCCTGGCGGAGTCCGTAACACACGCCGTACAGCCGGATAGGGTCCAGGCCAAACAGGCCAAACTGAAACGGTACCGGTCCCAGTAGGTCTAGGTCTAGAGGAGGTCAATCTATTAATAGGACTGAGCTGGTAGTTTAGAGACTTTTGGCTGTTCATTTTTGCGACGCAGCGTTTGGAGCCAAGAAAGTTGGTGGTGGTGACTGTCTACAGGCGGCATCCCGAGACTCTCTCCGTGGACGGCAGCCATAGCCAGCCTTCTGGAGGTTGCCATAGCTGGGGCATCCTCGGAGCATCTACCCCTGAGGGTATCTACGTTTGGCTGGGCTATACTGAGGCTCTTCATTGAGTATTCGTGGGTGGACCACTGTCGCCCATCTCTCCTCCGGAGTTATCAGGGCTCTATCAGTGGTGTGGCAGCCATAGCTGCCAGCTTCTTCATCAGAGTTGTTCAGCGGCGCGGAAGGCTTCATCACAGCACCTGTTCTCCATCTGGGCTGTTGGCGCTGGCCTCTGGGAGGCCGTTTCAGGGTTGCGCTACTAGCAGGGTGTAGGATAGAGAGTGGTGTGTGGAGTGCTGAGGGTGGCGAGATACTGGAACAAACTCTGCAACGATAATTGGTTTGAGTTGGCCCATCATC